GCTGATTCTTAGGAATTTATTATAAATTTGTCATAGCAGCTGCCTGACACATAAATTTGCATGAATAAATATTTGTGAGTTCATGAAATGTAATTTTTACCCCTTCTAGGTTTCTTGATGCAAACTTACTGGCATAGACAGCAAAGTCCTGTGATTTGTGTATGCAGCTCTCTGTGTAGATAGTGAGCAGAGCAAATGTGTAAAAGCTGAGCAAAGGAAGCGTGTGTGGCTTCTGAACTAAGCCTTTGCTGTAGGGCAGGTACCTCTCCAAAGGCAGCCAGTCATTGTAGGTGATAGCAAGCTGCCAGAGAGATCTGCAGCCTTGTGGGAGAAGGATCTGCTGTCGTCCTCTTCGTTTGCTGTCACCCTTACAGAGGGATTCGTTGACTTTCAGCAAAGCGTGACCAAACCACATTTGCTATAATTGTCTGGTGTTGAAGTAATTGATGCAACCTGGTGGGGGATGTTGGTGAGTTAGTAATTTGACTGCTTTATTGAGTAAGTGGAAACACCGGTCTGGAGACCTCCTTCCCACAAATCTCAGCTGGCTTTCAAAAGATGATATGTTATTTTAGAACTTATAAATGATTTTGGGAGCCAGACTGTTTTAAATGTGTCTGAGAAGGAAATGAGCATCATTTTGAAACAGGAAATAGATTTGCAATAGTATTGTTAAGAAATGACATCCCCTTTTTTTTGGCTCTCTGTATCACCATGGTAGAGAACAGCAGCACTTTTTTGACTACAGCCTTTGTACAACAGTTGTGCATGCAGACATATATATGAAATATTTAAGTAGCAGAAAAATAATATAAATTAATAAACTATAGGAAGAATCCTTTTAAGCAATCAGTATTGGAAAACAAATTCTGAATCTGCATATACTTCTGTGGAAAAGAGTACCTTATTGGTTTTAGTCATATGAAGGAAGAAAGTTATCTCCCCTTTTTATAATAAAGGAAATAGAATATGGCAGCTGAGAATGAATAATTCTCATTATACACTCTGCCTTTTGTGTCATCTTTTTTCCCAAAAAAGACAAGAAAAGCTGTCTGGGACAAACTTCTATGTTATGATTTGCGCTCGCTGCATTTCATTTCTGCGCTAAGACATGTACGTGAGCAATAGTACATAGAATAAAATTTCACGAGTCTGGGTTTGATATTGCCCCATGAGCAATTGACTTCTCTGTTCTTTATTTCCATTCCATAGGTTTACATGTGATTTACATTCCTGGCATAATAAAAACTGGTTTGGAAACTTTCTGGCCAAGCAACCAGATGTTCTGAATCTTCATTCGATGAAGGCAGATGTTGAAGGTGAGCATACAAAGATGCTGGAAGATTGTTATTTAGATGTTACCTGAAAACTTCTGGGGGTTTTCAGTCCTTTTGGGAAGGCACTGGCAGAAGCAATGGATTTTTGGATGTGTACATTTACTATTCATTGCAGGTTACCTGTGTCAGAGATCAGATTGCCAATTACAGTCCCTTTTATCCTTTCCCTAGCAGAAGATAAGTATAGATCACAAGCATGTGGAGGGGTAGCACTTTCCTGTGCTGTAAAATACTACGGTGCATATGTGCAGGGCCACTTAGGCAATGCTTTCAGAAATGATTTAAACTGGTCTAAGACCATGCTGTTGTCAGAAGGACTGTTCGAGCCATATGTTTCTGTCTCCTCCATTTTTCTGCTGCTGAAGTCATGCAGCTGAGCAGCCAGTAATATCAGTAAATTGGTCCAGCAGTAAGTCAGGTATTTTTTGTAGGTTTAAGTTTCTGCCAAATTAACCAGGCTTAACTAGAGGATATAAAAGGGACCTTTATTTTTTTATTTGGGGATGTCTCATTGCTTTTATGTTGAGTTTTCACTAATATTTTTTATGTACTGACAAACAAAGGGGCCTGAATGTACCTTTCTGATTTGTTTCCAGCAAGGAATTTCTGTCTAGATCACATTTTAACATGGAAGCAGGGGGACAATTTATTTCTGCAGAAAAACATGCCCTGGATTTAGGGGCGGGCAACCCCTTTGAGAGTGGTTGCTGCTGGGACGCAGGATCAGAGTGGGATTCTTGTCCTCCTCCATATGGCAACGCTTAGAGATGTGGAAGCTTCTAGGGGAGCTTGCTCATGAGATGGTAAGTACGAGTCCTTTCCTTCAGATGGAGTAAGAAGGGACAGGCCTTCACGTGGAGAACCGCCTGGAAATCGAGCCCCCTCTTGTGGTTTTTCCACACAGAAGGCATGAGTCGAGCCAACCTTATTTCTGTATAAAAACATATACACCTGCAACTTTTCTCTGAAAGTCGATACGGTTTCTGCTATGTCCTCTGTTCTTAGGGGTTGATAGGTATTCATCTCAGGGTAGAAAATGATAATGTGTAAAAATTTTTATTTGCATTTCATATGCAACTTGACAGCCATTTTCACCAGAACAAGGGGGATTAGGGGAAAGGGATTTGTTGGCTATCTCTATAATCTGATTTCTTCCTCAAGTTGAGGGAGAAGAAGCCCTAAATACTAAAGGATGAAAAAAAAATAATAATACTCTCCTGGATGTCTGATAAAGTATAGAAACAAATACAGGCATTGGGTTTCTTACAGTGATCTGTGTTTAATTTTGGGTTGAACCAAATCACATGGTACTAACAAATACCAAGTCAGTGTTTGATAGTGGATAAAGAACAAATGCACTGAACTTAGCAAACTGCTGAATGTCCAGCTAAAACCATGCTATGATTCCAGCAGGCATTCTGGGGGGTACACAGCATTGGCTTAAATCAGCCCTGACCACTTCTTCTTGCAACCTCACCGCCTCCTCTGCAATACTCACATGGCCTTTCTGTGATTTTTCAGTTCCATTTACGGTTCACTATGCAGAAAACAGAAATTCAGCTGCATTGTTCCCTTATAGCGCTCACCCTGGCCGCAGGAGCAGCTGTTCCCCTGCAAGAGGAGGAGCAGCTTGAACATGGGAGTAACTGACCTCGGACAGCATCTGTTCCACCCAGCTTAAACAGCTTTGACAAAAGTGGAGAGATCACTTGTATAGAGTGTAGCCCGACTGTGCCACTAACCTAATCGAGACAGGTAACTTTAAGATAGCATAGAGCTCAGTGGTCTTAAATGCTGTTTGCTGCATTCCTGTCCTTTCCCTCTGCCCTGGGTCAAACGATGAGTCCAGACCTCAGCTGTGACAAGGACTACATCAGTTATGAAGAAGGAAGGTGAAAGGTTTTGGAGTGGGAAACCAGCTTGCTGAAGCAATGGGAAGCAGCTGTTAGGACCCAACATCAGCAGAGGAACTGCTAATGCCATTCAGAAGAGCAAAAACTGGTAAAGGACGTTGGTTTTTTCAATAAAAACCACATTTTCGGTATTGAAGAGGAAATATTTTTATTCCATCTGTGTTTCTCTGAAGAGACAAAGAGAAGCCCTGAAGCATCTGAAGGCTAATCCATGATACAGTCTGAGCTCTGTCCTGACCTAGTAAATGTATCATCATGTAAACTCATTAGCAACTAACACGGTGTTTTCAGGACGTGATACATTGCGTAGTGGCGGCATTTCCCCACTAGTGTCTCCTGTTGATACTAATCAGAAGTCTGGAAGGATCAAAATTACTTGAAAAAAACTCTTATGAAAGTATGAGCAAAAACTAGAGGACTTGAAATATTGCTGTGCATTCTGAAAAGAAGAGTATTTCCTTATTAAAAGTACAATTCGAGGTGACCTTTTCATAGTAAAATGACTTGCAAGGCATTAAAGAGCTGATTCTGGAAGCACTGAAAAGAGACCTTTGCTATCCAACAAAGATTTTATAAGAAGTACATGCAGGAAAATACAGCCAAGCACTGACAGCCTCATATACTGAATTGACTGCTGAGGTGAAAAAGTGTTTATAGATGGAGTAGTCACCAAGAGTTGTATAATGAAGGTCATAGAAGAGGTATGTCTGGACAAAAAAATTTAATAATGTCAGTTTTCTGCCAGTATGGCTGCCAGACTGATGAAGGGAGTGGGAGCTTGTTTTTCCAGCTCAAGAAAAGAGCAAGACCTTCAAATGGTTTTCATTAATACTCCATGTGAAGACCAGTACTTCACACACATCAAAATTTTCATTTCAGATCAAGGAACTGGCGCAGTATTGCTGCAGTGTTAGCTAGACTTCAGAATATGACAGGGGAAAAATACACCACGAAATACTATGAAATAGTAAATTTGCCTCAGTTGTAATCTGAAAACTGTGAAATGTTCTGGTACATGAGGCAGGGTAAGCAACCAGAGCTCGTATCCCTCCTACTGCAAGGCAGTGCAGTGATTAAATACGGAACTTCCCCTGCTTACTTGTCACCGTATCAGTCATCTGCAATCGCACCACAGTAAAATTTGGTTGTGGTGATCCCTTACGAATGCCACTTCTGACCTGCATTCATTTAATTCAGAAGTGCAGCTTGAATCATAGAATCATAGAATGGTTTGGGTTGGAAGGGACCCCTAGAGGTCATCTAGCCCAACCCCCCTGCAGGAGCAGGGACACCTTTAACCAGATCAGGTTGCTCACAGCCCCGTCCGACCTGGCCTTGAATGCTTCCAGGGATGGGGCCTCCACCACCTCTCTGGGCAACACAAGCCAGTGTTTCACCGCCCTCATTGTAAAGAATTTCTTCCTTATATCCAGTCTAAACCTACCCTGCTTCAATTTAAAACCATTACCCCTTGTCCTGTCACAGCTGGCCCTACTGAAAAGATTCACTGCCATTGTCACCAAACCCTTTTCAGTTTAGAATTCAGTGACATTTTGTACTATAGAGAGGTCTAGTTGATCTCTGGGATTAGGGCTTTGAACCAGGATGGTGTTTGCATTCCTAAGTAAGAAAAATACAAGTGTGACATAATACTTGTATTTTTCTTACAGAAAGCTAAAACCACAATTGTCTAAGCCTGACTGGGTTTGACAATCTGGGGTTCTGGTAGCCATTATGGAGTGTGTGAATGATCTGGACCTAATGCTGGAGATGAAGCGACTTTTAGTTTGTAAGCTATTTCCTAGCATTTATGCTTTTCAAGTCAAAATGATGGATGTTTTATGAAGCTGCTTAAAGGGACAACTCACACCTCCCTGCTGGCAAACATGGGTATGAAAACACAAAATCATAATGCCTTGTTCTGCAAATAAATTCACTGGAACCTCAGAGCACTTTCACACACAGTTCCGAGAGCAATTTCAAGTCTTTCTTAGTCATGCCAAGGAGACTGCTCTGCCAAAATTTACATCAAGCATATCATCACAAGGCCCATTTCATGCATCAGTTGCATTTAGCAGTCATAAGCAAACAGCCCCTAAAAGATACACATGAACTAAGTAATCTCACCATGGGTTGCCACAGATTTTTATATTCTTTTGCAGATGTCCATTATGGTCCTTGCTAGTACCTGGGACTGGACAAACTTAACTGAAAGCATGTTTTCTTTTATTTCAATCATTAGACAGATGCTGTCAACATACGAGGGGAAAAGCTAATTTTATAGTATTAAACTCTTGGTCATAAAAATGGACACAATTTTCTCAAGACACAACATCACCAATATAAAGAATTCCAATGTTTAGGATGTGCAACTTTCTCCTCTGCAGTTACAAATGAGCATTTTATTTTCCTAAAGTCTGGGTTTATTATTTATAATTTTATTATTTCTTTTAAAAGTCAGGTTTATAAGTAGTTCAGCCCTTGATATCACTCAAATACAGAAACTTACTTCAACAAAAGTCCTCTTAAAATAAACTGAAGTTAGTACGAGCAAGAACTGTTGGGATCTAGCTCCTAATCTGCACTGCATGTTGGCATGCTTCCTTCCCAAAGATGTCATTTTACTTTGCTTCCAGTAGTTAACATTTCCTTTACAGAAAAAAACTGATGAGAGGCTACAGCTAGCCTGCTGGACAGGAGGTGGGTATCTGCTGAACTGCCAGTGTCTGTTCAAGGGTCACCGCCTTCCACAACTATGTGTTGCATTCTGAGACCTCTCAAAATGCTCAGCATTTTTAACATCCTTTGCAAAATTCTCCAGTTGCAAAAATCACTCAGTGGGTATTAAGACTACAATGGATTTAGAACTGACTTGCAATCTTCCAGAAATAACTTTGTACACTATGATAGATTATTCACATGTCAACAATGTTTAGGAATAGTCCCATGAGGTGGAAGAGTCAGGAAAAATAAGATCAAGATAGATCTCTCCAGCAAAAATTTATTCTCTTAACAGCTCTCACTTAAGTATTTGCTACTGACAGAATCAGGTAGGTTATCATTAAATAGTAACTGCCCTGTATAATAGCTTCTGTATTTGATGTTCAGCACAAACAAGAATGCACGGGAATATTCACTGAATCTGAGTCTTTCCACAGACTGGCTAGGATTTCTGGAACTGCAGAAAGACGCTAGAAATGTCACTGTGCGAAGTAACCTGTTTCTGGAAACTTCCCTTTTAACCTTTTCCAGTGAGGCCATTAACGTGCAGTTACGAGTACGTAACTGCCACTCGCCGGTTGAGAGCTGTGCCCCTGAAATGCTGTCCTGTGCTCTCCCTGTTTGAAAAAAACCCATGATTTCTACAACTCCAGGCATTTTCAACATTGTTATCTTGAGAATTTTAGGAGAAAATGCTTGACAATGTGCCATGAAATGCATGTGGGTTGGTTTGTTGCTAAAACTGATTTCTTACTGCTTTATTAATCTTGTACATGACTTCTGTTTTATTCCAAGGATGAGTAAGAGAAGCAGTTCAGGACAGTTAGTTGAAATCCTTCCATTCTGGAACAGCCTGCCTGTTACAGAAGGTGCTTCTTAACATGGAAAATAGTAAAGAGGCTGTTTTGTAACTGTTGGTTATAAAATAACTTCCAGGCAGTGTACTTACAAAACAAGTTACAAAACACACTTACAAAACAAGCAGGTCCAGAGAAGGGCAGTGAAGCTGGGGAGGGGTCTGGAGCCCCAGGCTGCTGGGGAGCGGCTGAGGGAGCTGGGGGTGTTCAGCCTGGAGCAGAGGAGGCTGAGGGGAGCCCTCATCGCTCCCTACAACTGCCTGAGAGGAGGGGGGAGTTGGGGGGGTCGGTCTCTGCTACAAGTAACAAGCGATGGGACGAGAAGAAGTGGCCTCAAGTAGCACCAGGGCAGGTTTAGACTGGGCATTGGAGAAAATTTCTTCACCAAACGGGTTGTCAAGCACTGGAAGGGGCTGCCCAGGGAAGTGGTTGAGTCCCCATCCCTGGAGGGATTTAAAAGCCGGGCAGATGAGGCGCTCAGGGCCATGGTGTAGCGGTGGACCCCGGCAGCGCGGGGGTAAGGGTTGGATGGATGGTCTTAAAGGTCTTTTCCGACCTAAACAGTTCTGTGATTCTATGTCGGCTGACACCACCAAGCTGGCCCGGGTGGGGCACCAGTTGAAGCGTCCCCTCTTCCAATGCAGCACATGCCCCGGCTAGACGGGCGAGGCTCGGCGGACCCCCGCGCCCCCTGCTGACCGACAATGGCGGAACGCTGCAACACGGGGGACCCGCAGCCAACCGCAACGCCGGCCCATCCCAGCCGAGGCAGTGAGAGGGCTCCTGGAGGTCTGAGCTTGCCTAAAACCCGTGTTAGTCCCAGCTGGCTAAGCCTGAGAAAAAAATCTAACCGGTTGTATTTATGAAACGGGCGTCTTGGAGCGCGCTTGTGTAACTTGAAACGTGTGCAAACGCGGCTAAAAGCCAGCTCCCCGCTGCCGGAACGGACGTAGCTGCCTTCTTTACCCACACCACGGCTCGCGCCGGGGGAAAGAACT